CCGCGCCCTACCCATCAATCAGCTTTGCGCCGCCGAGATCAAGCCCCGCCCCCTCTCTCCCAACCCCCCGACCAATGGGCAGATGGCGCTCTCCAGCCCTGTCCGCCAATCAGCAGTGCCCCCCTGGGCTCAGTTCCCGCCCCCCCAGGACTCGCTGCAGCTCCAAGCGCTGTGGAAGAGCCTGCAGACCCTCTTAAAGGGACAGGCCTTCCCTGCCCACGGCCAGAGGGTGGGGTTGTGTAGTGAACAGGGATCTTGGTTCTCTCTGGTAAAAACAATCCCTACTTTTCGGGTTCAAGGAAGTAATCCAAAATCCACATTTTTCCGTGATTAAAATGAACCGCCACTAATACATATCTCTATATCAATAAAGATATACATCTCTATATAGATATATATAATATATATCTCTATGTATTAGTGGCATTTCATTTTTATATCTCTGTTTTCATAGAGTGTTTCATTTCACCCAATTTCATTTTCACTTCATATATTTATATAGATACCTAAATCTAGATAGATCGATAGTGGTGTTTCATTTTGATCATGGAAAAATGTGGATTTTGGGTTACTTTTCTTAATCTGAAAATTGCAGATTTTTTTTCAGAGAAAATCTAACCCAGGAGGTGTACAGTCCCACCAGGGGGAATGCCCTGCTGGACCTGGTCCAGGTGACAGGCGACGACCTGGTGAGGGGACTCCAGGTTCTCGACCACCTGGGCGACAGTGATCATCATCTACTGGAATTCACCATCCAGCACAGGGTGTCAAGGGCCTGCAGCAAGGCAGTAGCCCTTGATTTCAAGAGGGCCAGCTTCAATGACTTGAGGAGATTGGTAGGAGAGGCACTGAAGTCCTGGAGGGTAGGGGAACTGGGTGTCCACGACGAGCGGTCATTCCTTAAGGAGAGGATCCTCCGAGCCCAGAGGTGACAGTTCTAATGAGAATCAAAGGGGGCAAGAGTGCTCAAAAGCTCCCCTGGCTTGTCAAAGGCACACAAGAATGCCTGAAAGCCAAAAAGGAGGTGTACAGGGGGGCTATCACCAAAGAGGAGTATACCTCCATCGCTCAGGTTTGTTGGGGGGCTGTTAGGAAAGCTAAGGCAGATACAGAACTAGGGCTTGCATCAAGGATCAAGGACAACAAAAAGTCCTTTCTTAAATACATAGGGAGTATGAAGAAGGCACCGGGTCACGTGCGGCCCCTGCAAGATATGCTTGGCAATCTGATGGTTGCACCAGAGGAAAAGGCAGACCTTTTTAACAAATTCTTTGCCTCCATGTTTTTGTGCAGGGACCAGGACACCTCCCCCACTGGGATTCAGGACAGATCAGGACGGACTCCACCAGGCCTAGGGTCAGGGAGGACCGAGTTAGGGAACTTCTGGAGGGGCTGGACGTATTCAAATCAGCAGGTCCAGATGCTCTCCAGCCCAGGGTTCTGAGGGAATTGGCAGGGGTTATCAGGGGCCCCTGGCATGGCTTTATGAGCACTCGTGGTGCTCTGGCCAGGTGCCAGAAGACTGGAAGAAGGCCAGCCTGGTCCCCATTTTCAAAAAAGGGAGAAAAGAGGACCCGGGCAACTATAGGACCATTAGTCTTATTTCGATCCTGGGGAAGCTCTTTGAGAAAATTATCCAGGAGCACATCTGTGAGAGACCAGTAGGGGGGATGATGCTCAGGGGCAACCAGCATGGCTTCATTAGGGGCAGGTCCTGTCAGACCAACCTGATTGACTTCTATGATCAAGTCACAAAATCATTGGATGCAGGTGTCGTGGTGGATGTAGTCTTTCTGGACTTCAGGAAGGCCTTTGACACTGTCTCCCACCCCATTCTCATTAAAAAGCTAGGCGACTGTGGCATTGATGCCTACACAGTCAGATGGGTTGCAAATTGGCTGAGGGGCCGCACCCAGAGAGTGGTGGTGGACAGGTCATATTCAGCCTGGAGGGATGTGGGCAGTGGAGTACCCCAGGGCTCGGTCCTCAGGCCCGCACTGTTCGATCTCTTTATTAGCGATTTGGACAAGGGAGTGAAAAGCACCCTGTTCAAATTCTCTGATGACACCAAGATTTAGGATGATGTGAGCACGCTAGAAGGGAGGGACAGGATACAGCTGTACCTGGACAGGTTACAGGGGTGGGCGACTGAGAATAGGATGGGATTCAATACTGACAAGTGCAGGGTGCTGCACTTGGGCAGTAAGAACCAGCAGCATACCTATAGGCTGGGGAAATCCCTTCTTGTAAGCACAGTGACAGAAAAGGATCTTGGAGTCATTATCGATTCCAAAATGAACATGGGCCGCCAATGTGAGGACGCAGTCAGTAAGGCTAACCATACCTTGTCATGCATCCACAGATGCATCACGAGCAGGGCCAAGGAGGTGATCCTCCCCCTCTGTGTGACACTGGTCAGGCCACAGTTGGAGTACTGCATCCAGTTCTGGGTGTCGCACTTTGGGAAGGACGTGGCCAGCATTGAGAGGATCTAGAGGGCACTCGCATGATCCGGGGACAGCAGGGCAGCCCCTACGAGGAGAGGCTACAGGACCTGAACCTGTTCAGCCTTCACAAGAGAAGGCTGAGAGGGGACCTGGTGGCCATTGATAAACTCACCAAGGGGGACCAGCAGGGAATGGGAGAAACCCTGTTCCCCCGAGCACCTCCCGGAGTAACAAGGAATAATGGCCATAAGTTGTTTGAGTGTAGGTTCAGGCTGCACATTAGAAGGCACTACTTCACAGTCAGGGCAGCTAGGATCTGGAACCAACTCCCAAGGGAAGTGGTGCTGGCTCCTACCTTGGGGGTCTTTAAGAGGCGGCTTGATAATTACTTAGCTGGGATCATATGAGCCCAGTATTCACTCCTGCCCAGGGCAGAGGATCAGACTTGATGATCTACTTAGGTCCCTTCCGA